TGTGTCACATATTCTCGTAAAATTTTATCAACAATCCTTCGTACCTATCGCATATTTATTCCATCGTTTGGTAATAGATAAAATACGTACCTCTAAAAACCTTTTCAAGAATAAAAAACGTCAAATCAATTATAATACAAAAGAAATTAGCTCATTAAATGATAAAATCTTTTAATTAACGACTTGTAAAAATTAGTACCTATTGGCGGTATGTTGTTAACATAAACCGCGTTACAAGAAGACAGTTATAATCTACCAGCCAGATTAAGTGCCCGAGATAAAAATGTTCAGTCTCTCAAAGTCTCTGAAAGCGAGACTCGAGTCTCCGTCTCTCATCAAGTCTCTCTGAGAGAGACTGTTGAGAGACTGTAAAAAAAAACTGTTTAGCGTCTTTGAACGAGAGAATCGAGTCGCTCATAGAGAGATCCTCATTTCGTATCCAGTCTCCGAACGAGAGACTCGAATCTCTCAATAAGTGGTGTCTCGATAGACTTGGTTAAAATTTTCTATGTTCAACATATTTCAGAGATCCCAGTCTTTCTACGAGAGACTCGAGTCTTTCAATTTTTCAGTTTTATTCATTCAGTCTCTCTGTGAGTGACTCGAATCTCTGAATTAACAATTTTATCGTTGAGAGATCCATTAAAACACCTAGGCAATAACTGAGAGACTGTGAAAGACTCTGATGAGAGACTGGAGAGAGACTGAAAGTTTTTGTCTAGGGAAGGCAGTCATATGCTTATGTGTCCCTTGCAGTGATAACTTAACAGAAACGGTGTTACATGTGCCGTGGTCGTAGCAATATCTGAAGTCAGTTGTTAAAATGCCAAGTTATAGAAGGATAATTGTCGTAATCCTTATGAAGTACGCTATTTAATAGTCGTTGTATGGTGTACTGTGGAAGGAAATGCAGTAACAATATTTGGTATTGGAACCGGTTGTCACTAGCCCAATTTTGTGGAAGAAATGCAATAGGTAGGTACTATTAAGACGGTCCTATCTTTTCAATATCTCTGTACAGTGATTGTGTTCTCTTATGTTTTCTTATAGAAGGAGTTGTGAGTTGTAAATGCCTAGTTTTTATGATAATGTATTATGAAAGGAAAGTCGTAACTTCTCTATTTAAGGAATTGCAACGTATGGATGACGTAGAATTTAAGAATTGTATCAAGATTAATTGTGTTATTAAAATTTTGAGTTATAAAAAGACACTTCTCGTTACTGTTGTACCGCGTTATATAGGAAAACGGAAAAATATTATCTCTATGCTATAAGGTGACGCATTATGAGAGCACAGTCGTAACTTTTCTATCACACTATTTAGGAACTGTAGGTCACAATTATGGGATGGAAGATGGACACGCATGCTGATGGAATGAAAACCAAGAGAAATCAAAACACTAATACACTGGAGAGATGACATTGAAAAAATCACCAGAAACTGACTTCAGAAGGCAAATAATCAGAAGAAACTAGGTAAAAATGGGGAGGTATATATCCAGCAATAGACATGAAGCACTTTTGAAGAAGAAGAAGAAGACAATTATTCAAATAGCATAACACGGTGTACTAAATGAGTTCTGTCGCAATTGCTAAACTCTGTTGTTTGAAAAAATGGTATTATTATTTTTTTTTCGACATGTATTGTCCAAAAAGCATCAAGCAACATTATTTCAAGCTTAAATTCAGGTCGGTATGGGTTAAGTTGACATGAACCTTCCTTATAATTATAAGAAAGTGACTGTAGGTAAACACTTTTATTATTTATTTTATTATACCTTAACTGAATGAATCGATCACGTCCAGAAATTTGATTTATTTGAAATAAATCTATTTAAAATGCAAATACGGAATACAAAATATATATTTATATTTTTAATTTTAAATTCCTTTCTCTTAATTATAATTTAGATTTATCTTTGGATAGTTTCTCGACTGTAAACTATTAATAGAAATTAGTTACAAATCGGATCAAATTAAGGTATGCTATCAGTGTTCCTATAAATAGATAACGAAATCGAGACTGGTTAATATGATTAAAGTCGAATTCAATAAACACACAATTTGGCAAAGCTTTCTGTGATAATGACTTATTTATTAATATATTTTTTTCGGAATCATCATCATCCTAAAGTCATTAGTCCTAAGACTGTTTGGACACGCACCTCCACTCTTTCCTATCCTGAGCTAAACTTCGCATTCCCCTAAAACTAGAACAGCCCACATCCTTAACTATTTGCGAACAGTAATCTAACCTAGGTCTACCTCTATACTTTTTAACTCCTGTTTCTGTCTGGAATATGTTTCTGACTAGACCGTTATGCTTGAGAAGGTGTCCTACCAGCCTATCTCGCCTATTTCTTATTGACTTCCATAGAGTCCTCTGTTCTCCTATTCTTTCTAATACCTCTTCATTTCTCACCTTCTCTATCCACGGTATCCTCATCATTTACCTCTAACATCACATTTCTAACGCTTCTAACCTCAGCGCCCACCGGCCATGTTTCGCACCCGTACAGCGGAATACAATACTAGATATTAATAAAAGAACGAAAGAACTTTTAAAATAAAATTGTTTGAAAAAAATATTATTTATTAGTATTATTATTTTCTTTTTCGACATGTATTGACCAAAAAGCATCAAACAACACTATTTCAAGCTTAAATTCAGGTAAGTATGGGTTAAGTCAACATGAAACTTCCTTATAATTGTAAGAAAGTGACTGTAGATGTAGAAAAGGAAGTTCACGAGTTTATTGGAATGAAGTTCACGACCGTTGATGTATAGGAAGTAAAGTTAGCATTGCGCGAGATTGTACCGGTCTATCAGGTAAGTTCGAAACATTTCGTGCGCAAATCGATTTACTAATATCAGCCGTGGTAATGGATTTTGCTTTGCTTTTACACAACAGTTGCAATCTTAATGGCAAACTTAATTAATGGCTAGTGATTTTATTCATTAGACACTACTGCCACCTCACAAGCAATTAAACGAAACTACCGTAGCTTTTAACGCATCGGCACGATGTTATTGTTGAATCTCAAACAGTCGTGTTATCTTACTATACTTTCTATGCTTATGCCCTTTCTTATTATTTCCTTTTCGTCTTAACAAAACCCTTTTTCGTTTAATCTAATACAAACTTTTATAACAAAGTTTAATCTTCAAATTCTAATATAAGGTATATGTACGGCACTAATGAGCTTTAAAAAGCACAGAAATCCACGCAAAATTGTTAATATTCTTTATAAATGGACATGAGCTAAACAATCAGTTTTAAAGTTACTCGTAACAAATTAATGTAGAAAATTGAATTTAACAAATACCTACCTACGCAAGATTATATACATATGAAATTAATTTACTGCTCAAATTACTTAATAACAATCAATAATTACCAATTAAAATACAGAGACAGAGAGAGATAGCTTTAAATAAAATGGATGTGGTACAAACAAAACAGAACTGTATGAAAATAAATAAAAGTAAAACAAAAATACTGGTATGCAAAGAAAGAAAAAATAGGGAAAGAGCGAATATAAAGATTGGAGACGAAAAATTAGAAGAAGTGGTAGGGATATAAAGCAGAGGATAGTGCAGGGTCTAGTCGCCTTCAATAAAAAGAAGTCACTTCTATGTTCGCGAACGGTTAATTTAGAAATTCAAAAAATCTTTTACCTTTGTTTCCCCCAAAATGACCCAATCATCACAACATAAAATATACTCTACATATCTATAATTCTTGAGTGTGAATTACAATTAAAACGTCTAATAAAAGAAACAAAAAGCAACAATTTCAAGAAGCATACAATTTCTGAGCTTGAAAATAACCAAAATTCCCATTTATAAATTTATGTATGTATAAACGGAACACCAAAAACGATTTTCAGATTATTGCCGTTTAATTGAAAGTATCAATTAAAAATCACCAATATTTTAGCGTACTAAACGTGTTTTAAACTCCACTATTGGGTAATCACATGAGTACATTATCTGTCTTTAAAGAGAGTTCAATACAATTCTAGTTCATCACGAATGTTTTCATTCAAATGTGTAACCCAGCATGTTTACAAGTAATAAATGTTTAAAATAAATGAAATGACATTAAAAAATTGATTTGGTAAATTTCTAGGGTGGGTGGGATTGAAAGAGGAGATCTCTCCCACCACTGTACCATAAAAAGTTCGTGGCGGTCTTACCCCCATAAAAAGTTATGGCGGTTGAAATTTGATTATTTTGACAACTTTCATACACTATAATTCAAATAAAATTCAATAAAAAAAAATATTTTCAAGCGGGTGGAGGTGGGGGGTCGAAAGAGGGTGGTCACTTGAACAAAACCCGATAACCTAACCTAACCTACTCTATTGATAAAGATATTTAAATAATGTTTTATATAACTTTGTCAATATTTTTATGTATTTTTCATTAGTTTTACTATATACATATTTACATGCTTAGAAATGTATAAAAATTGGCATATTTATTAACTTTGAACCCCCATAACTTTTGATGGGGGTGAGATGACAACGAACTTTTTATGGTACAGTGGCGGGGGAGACCTCCTTTCTCGGTCCCCCCACCATCTAGACCTTTACCATTGATTTTTGTAAAAACTTTTTCAGGTAGATACTTAGAATTTACAAATTATTATATACTAGCTGACCCGGCAGACTTCGTACTGCCTCAATCTATAAATAAAAGACCTAAACTTTTGTGTAAAATAAACTTGCTTGTCAAATGTCAAATAATTTATGACAAAATTTAAAATTTATCAATGTACATAAATCTGAAATATAGTTAACAACTTTCATATTTATTCACCTTGTAAACCTTCTCTGGACTTCAAGACCAAAATTAGCCAAATTGGTCCATCCGTTCTCGAGTTTTAGCGAGACTAACGAACAGCAATTCATTTTTATATATAAAGATTAATAGGAAGGGGATGAACCGTCTCAAAGAATATAAATCAAAGCAAAATTTATTGTTAAATATTTACTTATATACATATGTATAACCATATAATTTCCATTTTAATTTAAATAATTTCGAAACACAATTAAAAGGCCTCCTACTATTAGACATATGTTGCACAAAATCGACTCTGGTCCGCCATTATCAACGCTAATGTCATTAATTATTAATCTCCTATTATTTATAATCTGTTTATAAATTTGTGCTGAAGCTTTTGGTTCTCTTGTTCGAGAAGGATCAGACATGTTGACATGATAAAGGCCAAACTTAACGCTGAAATAAAGTGAACAATCAACATATTGTTTCTTAAATTAAATAATTGATAATTAAAATTAATCATATCTATATATTATACGTACGTGTATCCTAAATCCCATTCGAAATTGTCGAATAAACTCCAAAAAGTGTACATTTTAACGTTCACCCCTTCGGCTATTGCGGACAAGAGGGCACTTAAATGAGTCTGAAAGATCAGTTTTATGAAAATCCAGTGGATTTCGGGTAAAGCGACGACGAAGGGATCATTCGTCGTTATATCCGGAAGTCGTTACAGGCAAAGAGATACAGACACGCATGTAAAGTTTTCAGAATTTTCCAATTTTGAAACGATTTCCGCCTTTCTTTAACAGTAAATGTGCATCAAGGAGTCATATTTATTCAAAAGTTTACTAAACACAGTTATTACTCAGTATATCACTTTGTAACTGAACCATTTTAACTAACATTTATAAACAAGCAGTGTGGTGACCAACTTGCTGACCATCTGTGAGGATGTCAACAAAGGATAAGAAAGCTGTTTGTGTCTTTGGCGACCGAATCCATTTGCTATGTCTGCATGGGATTACTAGAGATTTGTTACAAATCATTCATTAAAAACAGTCGCTACACCCGAACTCGGCGCTACATCCGAAGTCGCTACAGCCACATGATATACTAAAGTATGCTTTAAATTCAAGGGACTTAGATTTAACGTCGTTATAACAATATGGTCGCTATAACCAAGGTCGTAACAAATGAAATCTACTTATAAGTTTTATGCGAAATATTGAGATTTAGTATTTTAGTTACTTTTGCTTCACATAACTCTATTTGATTATTTTACATTATTAAAGTGTAGACCGATTAATGAACCTATTTACAAATTGGTCAATACGAGGCCACGCTTTTGTTTCCGAAAATATTTCGGTCAGTCCACTTACTATGCACTTGTAATGAATAATGGTTCATTGTCAAATCAAATTCATTGTCAGGATCAATAATTAGGTATTGTCAAATTACACTTCATTCTATTTGAAATTTCATTATCAAGTTATTGCATAACGTAGGTAATTATTTCCGTACATAATTTCTGTCAAGGTTTTCTAAAAACAGAACCATCGCTCGAATTCATGGTCCCACAAATCAAGAAACTAAGAACACATTTTAAGTTAACTTGTACATGTAACTATTGGTTGTTTCTGTTATTGGAAATTAAAAGCTTTGGAAAAATACAAGATTAACGGTTAACATTTGGACTTAAGAGACAGAATTAAGGAACATAGGATCCGAATCACGAAAAATATTCCCGCGTTAAGTTTCCCTCCAGACGTCTATACAAATAAATTAAACACAAAGTGTAATTATACAACACGCTATTAAAGTGAAACTTCTTCAAACACACAAACATACCGGGATAGGGGTTAAGAAATTGGTTTAATGGTATTATTTGTACACTATGAATTTAAATTTTACACTATAGATGCCGGAGTTGCCTGTAACGAACGTTGCATTAAAGCGCGCTCACGACTCAAGCGATCCCTACTACGAACTTGACCACGTGGCCGAGTAGAGGGGGAACATCCGTTGCATGATTTCGTTACATAGCAACTTGCATGAAACGAACTTACCCTACCGTGCGTAAAGAAGTTTCACTTCAAAAATTATACGCAACTACAAATTTATGGTTTTCGGATTTTTCCTTTTACTTGTGCTATAATATAATACATTTCTTCTTGACAAATTTCACTATTCTAGGTTATCGGGAAGTACCCTACAGATTTTGGTTCCCTTTCGGCATAAACATAAACCATTTGATTGCGACTTAGAAATTTGATTTTTTTATTTAGAGCTCTAAGGGATTGAAGACCGAATATTTGATTTTAATTTGAACTTGACACCTCCACGCATTCCTGAGAAAAAAACGCCTCAACAGACAGACAGACGATCAAGGAGGTGATCTTGTAAGGGATCTCTTTTTCCTTTTGAGACACGAAACTCTAAAAATATGTTTGTTCATGACCTTTGTTTCCTTACCCTTAAGTAATAAATTCGCTCTTCATCGTTATAATTTTCCGCATCCGGAACTCCATTTTCGGTAACGAATATGAGAGGGTTGCTGTACTCGTTCTTTAGCCAAATGAGTACTTCTTGAAAGCCCCATGGAGTTACCTTAGGTAAAAGTACAACAAACACAACATTGGTATATTTGGTAACAACTTTATCAAATTACGGGACATCAACATATTGAATTATTGACATAATTTACCTTTAACCAACTGATTGGTGTTGCCTGCCACGGATTTTCAGGCTCTATAACAACATTATGATCCCTGTTGTAGGATGGAGCTGTAGGAACATTCTGTGGCCCATTAGCTGCCAGTTCTGCAGTGTAAAAATTTAGCCCAAAAAAATCAGATGAACCTCTGATATAATCTATTTCTGTTGGCGTGAATTCCGGCAGCCTTGAGTATGGAAATCCTTCTTCCTGACTTCTGATGGCCACCAAGTTCTTCACGATTTCGGGATAATCGCCAATATATATTGGATGTGCGAACCTACCAACCTTAACATCAGAAAAATCACGTATCAAAAAAATATTGTATACGGAAATATATTAATATACAAAACTTATGATTTTTTATACCTTAATTCAATGAATCTATCAGGTCCTGAAATTTGATTTATTTGGAATAAATCTATTTAAAATGGAAATACAAAATACAAAATGTCTATTTATATTTTTGAAGTGAAACTTCTTTACGCACGGTAGGGTAAGTTCGTTTCATGTGAGTTGCTATGTAACGAAATCATGCAACGCATTTCCCCCGCTGTCTGTCCCTATGTATGCTTAGATCTTTAAAA